GGAAAAAAAAAAAATTAGTAGTCCATGGCACAGAAAAAAAACACAAAACAAAAACCCAACCCACACACCCCCAACAAAAACAAACCCCCAAAAAACAAGACAACAGGGAGAGGAGGCAAATTTGGGTACATGAGGTCAAGATCCCACTTTTGGAAAGATAACCACAGGAACGTTCATCACAACACAAAGGAGAAAGTGCTGAGGCTTTTAAGGGATTATCTGGATGATCTCTTCATTGATGGTACTTCAAACTCTTCATTATTAGCCTCAGAAAGATGGTAAAATATGCATACCCAAAGGGAATTTAGATCTCTGGTTCTACAGTCTCTGTGATTCAAATCCAACCATTAAGTCATATGCTTAATTAAAGTGTCACCAATGAGTCATAATAAAAGCAAATAAAAACCAACGGATTTCACAGCACACACACATATAATTACAGAGGAGCAGCTGAAGAATCACTCTGGGCTATGGCATGTGTACATCTATTGTATCGTGTTGTTCCTTATTTTTATATGCAATATTGATGCAAAAGGATTTCAGGTGTCATTCTACCCTTCTAGATTATTGTTCCTTCCATTCCTTGTGTCCTGGGTTGAACAACTGCTTTCAGGGCAGGCACCCTAAACAGACAGAGTTCTCTGAAAAAGAAACAAAGCTAACATTTATACCTCTGCAAAAAGCATTCCTTGGGGTTCGAGTGAGAGGCACATCCCATGACGTTCGTTATCAAGGAAATCATCCAAACGTAAAAACTTCACTGCACATAGTTCTCTCCAGTCTCTCCAATAAATTGCAATTTCTAGCTCACGAGACTGGTGGGATGCGTGAGTGGTGGGGGAGAAAAAAGAAAACAGAAGAGTTACATACTGCCCCATGCTCTGGAAATGGCACAACCATGCTCTTGTAAAAAAATCAGTAAACCAAATAGTATGCGTAAGAAAGTTCTTTAATCCTTCTGTTCCCTGCTCTCTGCAGTGTTTCCTGATTTTCTTAGCCACTGACCCTCTTGGAGATGGCTGTCTTGGCTCCGCATTTCAAAAATCCCTGTGAGAGCCACTTTGCTGGCAAGATGAAATAAGACTGTTCAGACAAGGAGAGAAGGCCAACAGATGCTGTTCAGGCTGAATCTTTGCCAGAGATGCACTACCTTCAGGGGAAGACTAAGATAACTGGCACATTAAAGGACATGGGGACAGCAGCAATATACAGTTGAATCAAATGGAATGCCAGCTAAACGAGCAGATCAGGCAACGTGAAATGGAAAAACAAACACAACACAGGGAATCTGGGGCAGACTTACCCGGTCCAGCTCAATGACGAAGCTCTGATCCCATGCCTGGTTATTAACTGGTCCCCAGTTTGTTTGGCCAACCACTTTATTGTCCACTTTGAGCACAGCAAGGACCTCATCTAGACAAAGGAGAAAACATGGATTATAATCTTTTACCAAAGACAATTTCTCATGCTGAAGGTGAATATCCAAATCAAATGTGATTTCCAGGAGAGTATTAGGAGGATCAGGTATAATGCAATTCATTCTCTCTTAGTTTTGCAGAAACCAGGTTTCTTATAATTACACTCATACCAGGCGAACCTAGTACCTTGATAAGAAGCCCCCATGCTCCCATATGCCGCTCACAATTCAGCAGGGAATCCTATACTCACTACATGGCTCTTCATTCCGCAGGTACTTTCCTGCACCACTGCGGCCCAGGCCCACTCGTGTTCGGGACAGAGACCTCAAATCACTTGGGCTGCCACAGATGGGAGAAGAACTAGTCATTCGGGAGCGTCCTGGAACATTTTCCAACAGATCCTGACAGCCCATCAGTCTCACTTCCAATGTTCCTGAGGAGTTTTAACAGAGAAAAAGAATATTATTACGTAAAAGATTAAGTGATTCCAGTCAGCCTGTTCTCACAGGGGTCCAAGAATTTCTCAGATTCATGATTTCTTGGATAATAGCTCAAATCAACCCCAGATTAATAGACTGCAAATCCATATGATCAGAAATCTCTGACTGGCCCAAAAGAAGTAGGTTCAGTTCCTAGAAAATCAAATGTCCATATAACAAGAGGCGTTGTAACAATGACAAGAAATGCAACTCATTTTTACCCTTTGTTCTCCTTGCAACAACATGCCATGCAGGATTTATGTACCTGTAAGGGCTGTAGGTTTGATGACTGAAGTGGGTTGGATGCTGCCATGCTGAGCTCCCAGGGAGGAAGTATTTACTAGTTCCTGCTTAATAAGCGCTCTTTTTGGGTGATCAGGAGAAAGCTCACTAAGCTGATGTTCCAAGGACAAGCGCAGCAGATCAATCTTCTGAGAGGATTCTTGCAAACGACCCTGAGCCTAGCAACGTGAAGTAGAACAGAAAGCAGGCAGAAATTTTCAGTGTACAGCCCCCATCCAGATACTACTAATCATTTATAAACTACTACAGTAAGCATCAAAAGAAGACCAGCTAACACCTTACTAATAAAGGAACAAGACAAAACATTTTCCCATAGATCCTGACCAGCCCATGTGTCACTTTCGATGTTCCTGAGAAATTCTACCAAAACAAGGAATGTTATCGCTAGAAGGGAAAGTGATCCAAAACATTCTATCCTCACAGAGAGACAGGAACTTCTCAAATCAATAACTCTTGGTTAACTCTACTCATTCATGCTTAATCACTAATGTTGAGGCATGAAACTACCCTCTTTAGAAGGCCTGAATAAGTGCCTACCTCAGCCAAAAACTTGCGATCCTGCACCCGACTCCCTCCTAGGATCTTCAGCACGTTTTTTGCCCCCTCAGCTACAGCAGCTTCAATGCGCAGGTGATGTCTCAGCTCCTCAATACGCAGCTCCAATGCACTGATGGTGGTCCCCATCCTCACTAGCCATTTTGGAGATAAAATATGGCAAGGATGAAAAATGACTGTGTATTCTGGATCTTGGGGTTTTGGCCGCATCTGTTCTGGGATGTATTAATTACTTAAAACACCTTACCTGCTGGGTCCACTGTATCTTCCATCCCTCCTGCTGACTGAGATACTTTCACAATGTGCATGCGGATTATTTCAATCTTTGTCTTGCTGTCCTGAAGCATCTGCTGAGCTGTAGCCAGCAGCTTCCGCTCCTGCCAAAAAGAAAGCATATGCAGAGAGAGAACCATGCTCATTAAAAATGGATTACAATGATGTGTTCACATATGAGGATGAGGTGGTATCTGCAAGAAAGGTCATAAATGATTCTGAAATGGCATAAATAAGCAGTTATGTAAAGGAGACACTGCTGAGGATCAAGGACTTTGAGATTACGATCTCCATTTGTAGAGGGAAAGGGCAGGTCAAGGACATGTCCAGTTAATACCAAACCTTGCAGACTTGTGGTTCACTGGTCAACTGTGCTTACAGTGTTTTAAGCAGAGGTTTTGAACAAATGAAAATATCACAACCCTCTACACTGCTGGTCTTACTGAATTAAGCTTCATAATAAGCTTGGATATTTTTTTTTTAATTATCCTTTGACTTTTAAATATGATTACGCCAAATTCAAAAAGTGGGATGACTATGAAACCAGTAAACCTCTGAAACTTTTTCTCACAAAAAGATACCATATGCTGTGCTCTATCCTAAGCAATCTAGTGATATCAAAACATCACACCAACTCAGTGTACAATACCAATGCCTTTTTAACTTACTTCCCTCAAGTCAGTGACTGAACGTACCTCTTATATCGCCCTCACTACTTTCCCAGGCTTGGAACAGTTTTTCTAGAGATGGCACTTCTATCACTCCACTTCCTATGAGATACTTTTCTCTGGCTCAAATCTGCCTCTAGAGTCACTATGAGTGTTGAGGTTAGATGCATTAACACCTCTACGTTGGCATTCAGCCAGCTAAGTTAAACATATAGACCTAAGAAGTAATGTAGAGTCTATAGCCGGTAGGGAGAGGCAAGTCTTTCCAAAGGGTCATTCACCTTCTCGAGAATGATAACACAAGTTATTCTATAGGTACCTAGCACTTTCCACTGAGACTACAGAAGGATTTACATGGCCAAGTTAAAACAACCTGTTTCCCAACTCTATCATTAATACCACTAAGCAACACTCAAGTGCAGAAGCACAATCAGCATCCGCCATGCAAGAGCTGCCAAAAGGATCACAACTGCCAGACTATGCCCGTCTGTCTGGTCTAATAACTCCCCTCTAACAGTGCTCACCACCAGATGCTTCCAAAAAAGGCATGGGACAAAGTGGAATACACTATACTTTGAGAAAAGCCTTTTCCTAATACCCAGTAATTATAAATTGGCTTAAGGTCTTGGCAAATAAAACTTGCACCGTCCAAGGCAAATGAAACATGCACCATCCAATTTCTTAGCGATTCCTGCTAAATTCCTGAAATCTGTAACATGTTGCAGTAAGTCTAATGCACAATCGCAATATTGGTTGTCCTGTGCAGTAACATGACATGCTGTCACTATGCTGAGCACCAAAATGTACAGTTAGGATTCAGTCAAGCAAGCTTCGCAAATTAATTTCTTACACATACCAATTACCAGAGTGAACTTTTGTTGTATGAACTTTAAATACAAATTTTGATCCAGAAATTCATGTTCCCAAATGATTGCTTATTCCTGCTTACCTTGGATGTGGAATACATTTGGATCATGTTCTCAGCTCCTTGTTTCACTTTCATTTCAACATGCAGCTGCTTTTTCAAAGCTTCAACCTTCCTGGCCATGGGGTCTGGGTTTCTTTCCCAGAGACAAGGATCTGGAGATGCGGATCCATCTGCACAAACAATACAATTAGTCATCTTTTCTTGTGTCATTTCACTCGGTTATAGACGGGTGACTCTATCAAAGAAGGTTAGACTATAAAATAAGGTACAAAAAGGTCTTGTCTACAAAATTGACTGCAAAACACGTTCAAATGAAGCTTAAACTAAGAAATACTTACAGCTATGAGCTTATCAGTGAAACATCCTAACAAGCACTCTGCCAATTTTATACTCATTCATTCTGTAAAATATTTGGATGTTCAACTGCCCAGAAACTCTATTGAAATCTCTTCAATTCCACCTACAGCCTGCTCCTGAATATTGTCCATGCCCAGCACTCTCAGCTGGTCTTCTCCATACACTGATCCCTCCGGTTCCCTCTTTTCACCTTTATTGCCCCATTCTCAACTTTTTACTGCACAGATCATTTCATCAGCTAAATATCAACAGAAGAAATTCCCACTACTTGTGAGCCCTCAACAGAAAAATATACATATATCAACTCAATATATATAAACACTGAAGCACTATAACACCATTTTCTTGCCAATCATGATCCAAGACCTACCTGTCTTACTCTCTTCTTTGTCTGTTATTACAATCCTTGCATTAAGCTCCTGAAGTTCCCAGTGCAGTTGTTCCAGTTTTCGGTTGGAAGATTTCAGCACATGCTCTATATGAACAAGATTCTTTCTGTCTGTTGTTGCTTTGCGCAGGTTTTCTGCTCCCTCTTTAATCTTCAGTTCTTTCTGTATTGCACGGCGAAGTAGTTCCTTCTCACCCTCCAGTTTTTGCTGGAAGCTTGGATCCATTAAGTTCACACCATTGCCCAGCTGCAAGAGACAGCTGCCCTACAATTGAGCAGCATTGGGCAAGAGGATTTCAGAGATAACACAGTTCAACCATTTTTATGATACAGCATAAGACTCCTCATAAGATTCCACTCCTTCATTTCATTTAGAAACTGGTTCACTCAAATTCTGAAGCCTATCTCTTCACCAAATTTTTAAGAATATGAGACCTACACTTAGATTGCAGAAGACAGAACACAACTTTGACCTCAACATGCCTTAATTTGGTTTTAAACCATAATGGAGAAAAACCTTCATTTTGCTTGTCTCCTTGTTATTTAATATCTACACACACCTTTGTTCTCCAAGTAACAAAGCCAAGCCAATATTTGCCCTTTTTCTGATCAACATTAACTTTTACTAGTATGATGTAATACATACAGATTTTTATCCGCATACGTCTTGATGCTGACTGTTCAAAGACACATCTCAACTGTTAGAGCTTTTTAGGAATGTCACAAGCATGCATTAACTCTCAGTTGTTACCCCTGAAGAAGAAAAATGTAAAACCTACAGCTGTTTCTACAAATGAACAAGCAAAAGAGTAAGCTTAACTTTCTGCTGTATCTGAAAAAGGAACCAGACTGTTGACTCAATTTCTATTCTGCTTGTGATTTACAGGCAATAAGGCTGCTTTAAAGCATTGATTATTTTGAGTTGCATTAGTAGCATTCAAGCTTGTTCTGGGATTTGTTTTACATAATTTTCAATACTACTTGTTCTAGTGATGTATGCCTCATCAATAGCTCTGGACAGAGATGCTCTGTTTATGGGCTCTGGATGTACACAGTACAAGCAGCAGCAACAGAGGTACATCTCATGCAGGAGCTGTGAAAGCTTTATCAGTGAGGATGCTACCTAACACCGTAACAAACAGATCCAAGCAAGAGGTTATGCTTTTCTCTTCAACAGGAAGAGTGGCTTTAAGGCATTTAGAGCAATAATATATTAATAACCTAACATTAACGACGTCATCATACTCCCTGCTTAAATGCGAAAGAAACAGTTGCACAGTCAAACTCCACTACACTAACCGACCTAATGTCACACAGCACGTCAGTGACTAAAGACAGAACTCAGGAATCCCAACTTACTCTCACACTTTCATTGGTTGACCACATTTCCAACAGTAAACCACACTGGTTTTGTGTTACTCGTGTACATTACTGCACTTTAAGAGTGTGTTTTGCATCCAAAGCCTATGTCACTCACACAGAAACAATTATTTAATCATACGAGTATATTTTGTTATGCACCTCGAAGACCCAACCAAACATCCTTGATTAGTTTTTGCTACTATTTCAGTCTAATAGCAAAATAAGTAAAGAAGAAGGAAAAAAATAGTTTAAAGTTGGCCTAAAACCAAGTTGGGTCTGCAACAGATACACAATAGCCAAAATAGGAGTTGTTCAGATCGGTAACAAAACAAAAAGGTTCAGATTAACATCCTGGTTCCAGGAAGTTCTCGCCCAATTAGTAAAGCCAGGAACTAAGCCAGAGCTTTGAAAAACATCCAAAGTTTTGCGAGGAAGAACTTGAATCATGGAGTTCCTGAGTCACAGGCAACCTTTACCAGCTGAAAGTTGGAAAATCAGAAAGGTCTTTATCCAGTCTGTAGCAAGTGGCTAAAAGCAGTTTGCTGCTTGCAATTCTCATTTAAATAATTAGAAAAAGCATACAGATTTATTTTCTATCCAAACTATGAAAATGGCTGCAAGCAATCCACCCCCCCGATCTGTCCAAAGCAACGGAGTGAGTAGCAGTGCAAGAGTAACACCAACAAAGAGTGCTGAATACAGAGACCTGGGTTTCGATTCAGAGAACAGGTTGTCTGGGCAGTTCTCAGGTCAATTTTCCTCCACGTTACTCTCTGCCAAAAGCTAGTCTTAACGCACCATGCTAGTTTTCTAAATATATTTAGAATGTAAGCATGGTATGTTTTTCTGGATCCTTCTTCCCCTCTGTGGATCGGAGAGTACCATAACATTGATGTTGTTTGCACCAGGAGGATAAAATATTCTATTATTGAGGAGGATGGGAAAGCTGAATTTGCATTGGGGTTTTTGTATTTTGCATTCTGCCTCAGGAATTTCAGTGGGGTGTCGGGACACTGCCACAGCCCATGCTGCAGCTGGTTTTGGGTTCCCTGGGAAGGTCAGTCCTTAAGGGCTCCAACGCAATCCCAAAACATGTTTACAGCTTGCAGAGAAATACCCAAGCTATCTTAAATTATCTTGCTTTTGGTACTTGTAGCGGGGCTGCCAGAACTCACCCATGGCTTCCGCTAGATTCATGTCGTACTGAAGTGTCTAGACTGCTTCCTAACTAGCAAAAATTTCAGCAGTATCAAAGTTGTGGTCAGTGCCTTGGACTCCAGCCCAGGGAGATCCCATCCCCTCAGTTAAGCCCGGCCTGGCAACGAGCTTCACCTGCACAAAGCCCAAAGCAGACCTGGCCCTTACAGTTTCACCGCTGTGTCCTGGTTTGAGGACACACTGACACAGAAATCGATTTACAATTCAATTTAACGAGCCAGCGACAAGGAGGCCGTCGTCCGTGCCCCCCCCCCCCAGACCCTGGTGTTCACCAGGACATTTTAAACCACGTATTTCATAACAACTTTGTGCTGTAGAAGATGAGGCCTGCGTCGGACAGACTCACACTAGCCACGTTCACTTTTTATGAGAAAAAGCCACTGCAAGGTTTGGAAAAAGGCGATTGCAATCCCGTCTGGAGCCGGTCCCCTTCCCAACTCGCATAAGGGCGGAAGGCAGCGAGCGCAGGAGAGCCGGGCCGGGCGGCGGGGCGGGCAGCGAGCGCTCTTTGTGCCGGTCTCTCCATCCCTTCTTTCCCAACTGAGGTTTGAAACGCCTTAAGGAAAGAGGGCAGGGCATCTCCTCCACTCCGGGGAGCTTATCCCAGAAATGAATGTTTTTCCCAGCACGGAGGCCGGCTGCCCTCCCCCGGCTCCCGCCTGCCCGCCCCCA